GGAAAGAGGGGAAGGAAAACAGGAAATTTTGACTGATGGAAAAGATATGATATCCAAATTTGGTAGTATTCGTTCCTGGGAAAAGTGTGACAGCTACTCACCTGTCTACTGCTTCTACGTCAAAGCAAAACCTCTTCTCAATAGAGTCTGTTTTCCGCCGGATGCAGGATTTGAGAGTGACTGACTCGTCTTCTCCCTGTTAGGAACACACAGATATCAAGATGAGGCCAGTTTATGGGCTCTGCTTCCCTCCAGAACAAACATGCCCCATGGACAGGAGTGTTCATTTCCTCTTCTCAAACCTGAATGTTCATGACCACAGGAGGTAAATGGTTGCTCATAAACCTTCTCAGACAGCTAAAATTTATCAACCATGTTCTACTTGGAGTCAAATGTCTTTAGTACTGGAAGATCATGATGGTCCAGCACCAACCCCTGTTACATTAAATTCTTGTTGATATTATTTTAAATAGGCTTAATTTGTAGGTTTGACATGAGTCGAAACAAAATGATCTTGAGGTTTCCTCCCAACTCAGCTTCTTGGATCTTGGTTCAGTTGTCACTTCTCAGGAAACTCAAATACCCTTACACATGTTCACACAGCAACATGTGCCTCTCCCTCCCTCAGAGCACTGATCACAGCTGAAATTTTCCATGGATATGAGCAATGACTCAAATGACATCTCTCTCCTCACTGGACTGTAAGATCCCTGAGGAAAGGGACTGTGTCCCTTTGTAATCCTTCCCTATACCCAGAAAACATTGAATGTGCTTTCTGTCACACCCTATAGATAAGTTTGCATCCTATATAATAAAGAGCTAATATGCTAATTAGACCGAACAGCAGAACAACCATCTGGACGACCTTCAGGACGATCCTCCCGGATTAAGCTGGGGCTGCGAGGGCCAAGCTCCTTGCATGAATTTTGTGTGTAGGGCCTCTAGTATTCTATAACTTTACAAAAATGGAATGCCCTTTTATGTCTGACTTCTTTCACTCAGCATAATTCTTTTGTAATTCATTCATGTTGTGCGAATCAAGAGTTTATTTCTTTTTATTGCTGAGTAGTACTCCATTGCACAAATGGAACGCTGTGGTTTTATCATACAGCACTAATTTCTTCTCTTTCTGTCATGTAAGAATTTGTTAAGGATCCTGTTTCTCCTGCCTGTCCCAATCTTTCTTTTTCTAAACTAGGGAGGAAGTTAGTAAACTTGCCTAGTCTGTTGAAATAATAGGAAATGTGACTGCATAGGGTAAAACTAACCACGCTCTAATATCCGAATAGTACACAAAACACAGAAGACCTAGGAAGAGATAGTTTACTAGTATATTCACAGCCTTACATCTATTGGGTTTTACTGAATAGCTAAGATTAAGTTCTCAGATTAAGAACTGCTCCTTCCACACTGTGCAAATGTATGAGTGTAAACGCCCAAATACAGGGGATTCTGACTTATGTTGATGTCTGACTATATTTCAGATTGAATGGACCTGGACCAGCTTCTACTTCGAAAGCTTATAGATAGGTGTCCCTGGTAAATGGGAGGGAACAGGGGATCTATAAAATATTGTCAAATATAAGAAAACAGAAGATTCTGTTCCAAGGATGACCATATCATAACAAGAAAAATATATAAAAACAATGTGTTCAACTACCGATGGTTTAAAAAAAGTGGGGGATGCAGGTGATAATCACTTCAACAAATAAATGAAAAGTTAGAAGTGACAAAAACTAAGTTGTATTACAAAAGCCTAAATTCAGGAGATTTGACCTGGTCAAGAAGGTCAGCAAAGGTTTCCCTGGGCTTGGACTTGACAGATTAACGAGATAAGACCAGGCTTGGGGATGAAGAAGAGCAGGTGGAAAAAACCCGTGGTCAGTCCTTGGGTCCCTAAAGGAAGTGAGGGAAGCTAGTGTGGCTAAAATTCCAGAGCAAGAGGGAAAGTGGAATGAGGAAGGGCTTGAGGGATGCAGCGGCAAGATCATGCAGATTATGGTCTGTATGCTGAATGCTGTGGGGAAATAATGAAATATGTCAAACGAGGGAAGGAATAGGGTCAGCTTTGGGCTGCTGCACACCTCCTGCAGAGAGGTGCCTCCTCTCAGACTGCAGGATGCAGGGAAGTCTCTCTCACCAGAGAGAAAGGACAGATCACATACTAGTAAAAAGGAAATGCATGCAGTGAGTACGCCCAGGAAAGAAGAAACCCTGGAGCACAGCAAGGAGCTCCCAACGCAGTGACCCATGGAGCCTGATGCAGCCTGACTGAGTTCCAAATGTGGCCACAAGAACTCCAGCCCACCCACTCTTCACACTCCTCCTCCCACCGAGAGGCAGTGTCTGCATCCTCTCCCACTGATATTAGGTGGATTGGGCGGGCTTTTGTGACTGTTTCCAAAAAAAAACCATATAGGACAAAAATAAGGTAATATGACTTCTAAGAATAGATCATTAAAAAGCAATGCAGGCTCAGTTTTCATTGCTGGAATACTCACTCTTTAAACATTTAGCTGCCCAGTGGCCACCATGCTGTAAGGAAGCCCAAACTAGCCCGCACAGAGACCAGATAGGCCCTGAGACTCCAGACAAAGAGGGAAGAGAGGAGGTCAGGAAAAAGAAAGAAAGCTCTTCTCACTGGCCTTGAGCTGCTTCAGATGCTCATTGTTCCAGCTACAATCACCATCTGATTGGAGCCCCAAGAAAAACCCTGAGCCCAAACCACCCAACCAAGTGCTCACCAAATTCCTGATCCACAGAAACTGTGAGAAACGCTAAGAAGATGGTATTGTTTTAAAAGTTGCTCAGTTTGGAGGTGATCCGTTACAGCAACAGATAACTGGAACAGCTAAGCTGCCAAATGGCAGCCCTGTGAGTATCAAGTGAGAGTGATGCAAATCAGTTTCACAGGGTGAGGTCACCCAAGAATTTCTAGCAGCTAAACACATTTGACACACTTAATCCTGCATATATGTGAAATACAAGAATCTTTCTTAGTTGTAATTTCTAATATAACTTAGAGTGAAGAATCATTTTGTGTAAGTTACTTTTTAGGGTACTATACCTCCTGGAACTACTGTATAAAAACTAAGAAAATTAGAGTGAAATATTGGAGATGTTACTTTATATAAGCATTTTTGTTATTTGTTAGTCAAGCAAATCAAGCATGAAATTTTAAAAAATTAACTCACCCCCTTTCCTCCTGACTTTTGGTCAAATGGTACCATGGTGATCTGTTTGGAATCCCGCTGATATGTACAGTAGTGCTTCACCCAAGAAGTTCCAAAGTGACCTGCAAAGTAATATTTCCCATAAAACAACTATATATGTCCACTGTGTGCCAGGAAGACACACAACCCATAACCCACAATGCTCACCTACCCTTAACTTGTTTCTAGGGGCACTATATTCCCCACACCAGCTAGACTGGAACAGGCAGAAATCTGATCCCATAGACTGGAAACGGAGCCTACCCAGGGCTTTCCCCAGAGACCAAGGAAGACTGTTTCCCACTAAATGCTACATCCAATGGTCTTAAAATGTAAGGGAAGTAGAGGTTCCCTGGGGAAATTAATTCACTTTCCCATCATCAATCTCCATTTGAAGTTTTCTGTCTCTCCCCTGACAGGAGTAAGATGACTGAGGAAAGAACACAGAAAGGCTCCTCAAAGTGCTTGTCACCGCTCCCATCTGCTGCAATGACTTCATGCTTCCCACACAGTTGCCCTGCGACTATGTGCAGACAGACAGGAGACTCTGACCTACTTCCAAGCCCCTAATTTTCACGTTAGCAGAACTCGAGAAGACTGAAAAGCAGACAAAGAAAATGCAGAGACACCCAAGATACAGAATGGAAGTAACTGTAAGTGCCCAAATGTAACCTAAGGTCTCTCCCTCAAAATTATCCCTCAGGAAAGATGGAGATGCCCCCGCGCCCCCCCAGTCAAAGTCTGACTAAGTCTCTGATTTTACCCAGTGCTTATTACTTTATTAGCCTACAAGGGCCTCAGTCAATAATAGTTTAAATGCTTACAGAATCACATAACACAAGTTGTGAAAAAATAATTATAACATGAATAGAGATTCTGCAGACATTTAATCATTATTTTTCAGGGTGTGACTGACCATTATAAGTATTGGAGATTACTTAGTAAACTTAAAAAGCAATACAGTAAGTGTCTACATTAGAACATCAGAGTCAAATGAAAATACTAACCATTCTAATGTATCTTTTTGGATTCAAGAAAAAAATTCAGTGATAGCACAACACAAAGATTCCAAAAGTGCTTGTATCTTGGACAATTTGAGCATCAAAACAAATAAGGACAGTAATGAATTTAGCCTATGAATAAAATGGGAATCCATGAGTCCATACTGACAACAGAAAGTTTTTTTTTGAGATAGTAAAGGAGAAAAGGAGGGAGGATGGGGGAGGGAAAGACGAAGGGAAGGAGGGAGAGAGAGGCAAAGTGAGGTCACTTCCTTACAATATACTAAATGGCAACTGATAAATGTGGAGGAGTGGGAGAGCTGAGAAATCACCATTTTGAAACCATCATAGTAAAGATCAGTTCAGGGAGGATTTTCAATGGAAGCTGAGACTATGAGGGAGGGGGGTGGGGATATTGACGTGATCTTAAGCTATTTCCCCACAGACTACTAATTAGTTACAAGGGAAAAATAGTGACTGTACAGGGAAGAAACCAGACAGTACATTGGGTGATCAAACTTTACATCACCACTGAGGGGCAGATGGCCACAGAGCAGAACACAGTGTTACCTGGGTAGGATATAACCAAGGACACATAATCTGAATCTAATCTTGAGGAAACATTAGCTGAACCCACAGTGAAGAATTCTATATATTCTTCAAAAATGTCATGTCATAAAAGACAAAGAAAAGCTGAGGAAGTGTTCCAGATAAAGGAAACTAAAGTCATAACAACTAACCACAGTATGAGCTCCTGCCCTGGAGAAAAACAAAATGCTATGTAAGGGTATTTATATGGGGACAACTGACAAAATTGGAATAGACAGTGTCATTTATATTAACTATCTTATCAATGTTAAATTTCCTGCATATGATAACTATGGTTACATAAAAGAATATCCTTATTTTTAGAAAATATACACTGAAGTAAAAGAGCATGGTATATGCAACCTGTTCTCAAATGGTTCAGAAAAAATTAAAATTGTGTGTGTATCTGTGACTGTGATGTGCACACACACACACACACACACACCCATACAGAGACAGAATGATATAACTGTGGGAAAAGGATAAAAATTCGTGCACCAGGCTAAAGGTCATACTGTTGTTCTTTACAGTATTCTTGAAACCTTCTTTAAGTTTTGCATTACTCCAAATAATGTTACAAAAACTTTCCAAGAAAAAATAAAGATGTACCCCAATGATATGCTCCAGGCTACTGTGTTAGAGAAACAAAACGTGGATCCAATGATAATCAAGACATTAATGCTGAAAGAGCACGTGAAGTGTTTGAATAAAATTGTACAATATAATGTGAGAGTGCAAAAAAGCAATACTGATTTTACCTATGTAAGTGAATAATATTAATAAATTAAGTATTATAAGTAGACATTGGACTATATTTTTGCAGTCCTAAGAATTTATATTTTCAAATTCACCTTAAATTTGGGGGATAGATCTTCCCACCGGGCAAACAAGGCATCCCCTTACATCAGGTATATATGAAACACAGAACTAACGTAGCTTGTTCCTACAAACCTCAACAAGCTGGTCCCTGTAAGAATAAGGGACATGAAGTTCTCATCACCACCAATGCTCCAACGCCACTACTGCCCCCATTGTCAACAGGGAACAATTTTAAGCCCATGCAAATGTTTAGTAATCACTGAACAGAATAATCACTGAAACCAAGTGTTCTACTTCTGCTCCATCGGGAAGCTTCCAGGATGAAGACATTTGTCTAACCCAAAATCAACAGAAGGACATAAAAGCACAAAATCAGGAAAAATCTGGGAGAAGTAATATGTGCAGCCAAGAAAGCAGGAATAGGAGACTAGGAGAAAAGCTATTCATTAAGGAAAACAATTTGCTATCTTGTCCCCCTAGCATTGCTTACATGAATCAAACCTGGGAGTGCACAGCCTCATCGGTCATAAAGCCTTCCCCCAGGCCTAAGGCATGAATCTGAATCATCACTGAAAACTCCCTGTCACCAGCATGTCTCTCCTGACATCGCACCAGGAAAGCAATGATGAGTCTTCTTCCTGGCTCTGGGAATGAGCTCTTGTTTCTACTTTTCATAAAATGTAAGTGTTGGGATGACTTGAGGAGAAGAGGGAAAGCACCATGGTTGTTTGGGCCTTGCTCAAACAAGTCTCAAATGAAAACAAAATCACTAAATAGGAAGTCCCACCAAAGGATATGATTGCTAATGGAAAATTAGGTCTAGCAGGCAAGATTTTCCCAAGTCTTCCATGGCAAAGGGATGGTGTTAAAGCTAAACTAAGGGGACAGGCACCTCAAGAGTCGAGAGACATGAGGGAGAAAGGAAGCACCACGGAACCTCAATGCATTCCAGTTACAAAGAAAACAGAACACGTCCCTTGGCTGTAGACAAGACTTGTGGACACCACCCTCCCCCTAGGAAACTGAGCTATGAAAATACTCTCATTCCCCCAAACCTGTGCTTATAAAACTTTCGGCCAGGCACCACTGGACACACCCTTCACCTTGTGCGCAAAAGCATGCGCACACCCCAAGCTGTTGGTCACCACGGACACTCACGTTTCTCCTGAACATAGAGGTACCCTTCCATGGTATAGGGGCTGATGGTCTTGTGCTCAAGGGGATTCTCCTTCATTTTTTTCATCAGTGACTCCACTTCTGACCTGGTGCCTTCAAAGCGATTTCTTGTCTAGGATGAAAGGAATTATATTCAAATCAAAGAAATAAAACCCTCTTCCCACCTCTGACAATTCAGAACCTCAACCAATAGAATTCTTTTTAAGTATACATTTTATTGATTTTTCACAGAGAAGAAGGGAGAGGGATAGAGAGCCAGAAACATCGATGAGAGAGATCCATCAGCTGCCTCCTGCGCGCCCGCAGTGGGCACATGCCCCCGACCGGAATCGAACCCGGGACCCCCCCTCCCCCCACCCCCCC